CAGGGCTGCGGTGGGGATGGAGCCACTCGCCGGCCCTGCTCTGGCCTGGCCGGCTGCGGCTGCAGGAGATGAGGGAGCCCTTTGATCCCACCCTGTCCCTGGTGCTGCCCACGCTCAAACCACATTTTGTGGGACCCGTGAGGCAGCTCCGTCCTGCCTGTGCCCAGAATTTCCTGTGGTTTAGTACCTGGATGTGCCTGAGATCTCAAATTTAGGCCCAAAACCTTTTGCTGGGGGGGTTTTGCCTCAGCACGTTCAGGGTTGGGTGCTCCGAAGGCTTTCAAAGCTCATCCCTGCAAAAGGGGCAGCATCCAAGGAGCTTCTGCAAGTCCCAAAGGTGTTTCCTCCCTGTTCCTGGACTCTGGGCCAGCCCTGAGGTTTTGGGGTCCTGGAGGCATGAGTTTCAAAAGGAAATGTGCACATGTGTGGGGAGAAAATTCCAGGGAGGGCTATTAAATGTCTGACTCAAAGGTCACGAGCTGCAAATAACCAGGGAGAGCAATCAGAGGAAGCATCTTGCCCTGATCTGCCTCCCCAGGCCTGATGTGCAGCTCGTTTCTAGAGAAAATTCCCATTTTTGTGCTTGGAATGCCTAAACAACTGCTCTGCTCACAGGTGCACGGCGAGGTTGGTGTGTGGCTCAGTCCTGGTTCGTGCCTTTGGTTGTGGGAAGGGTTTTATGCTGCTCTGGTGACTTTGCCAGACTTTAATCATCGTCTGTCCCAATATTTTTTTAATTTTTTTTTTTCTGGAAACTTTCTGCAGGAGGAAGTTTGCAAGAATCAGAGCAGAAAAATTTGGGTTTACCCTGGTGGAAAAACTCTCAGGGGGCTTTTCTTGGAGCAGCATCAGCCTGCTCTGGTTTTGGAGCAGGAATTTGCTGTCTGGTGGGGAGGGGAGGGATCCACCCACATCTGGCTGAGGCGTAAAGCCCCTGAAACTCCCACTCCGTGAGCTCCAGAAAGAGTTATCAGAACTTGGCACCCGGCTGCTCCAAACATTACATCTTCCCTGAGCATCATCTGCTCTCTTATGGCTCCTGCGGGACGTGGCCGGCGCTCTCTCGGTGCGGGGACAGCTGAGGGGGTGCGGGGCTTTCCCTGGAGCTGCTTTCCCTGGAGCTGCTTTCCCTGGATCTCCTTTTCCTGGGGCTCCTTTCCCTGGAGCAGCTTTCCCTGGAGCTGCTTTCCTCGGAGCTGCTTTCCCTGGATCTCCTTTCCCTGGATCTCCTTTTCCTGGGGCTCCTTTCCCTGGAGCAGCTTTCCCTGGATCTCCTTTCCCTGGATCTCCTTTCCCTGGATCTCCTTTCCCTGGGGCTCCTTTCCCTGGATCTCCCACCCCCGGAGATCTGTGCTAAGGAGAGGAAAGAGGAAAATGCCCCAAACGCTGGGATTTTGTGGGATCCTGCGAGGAAACCCCTCGGGGACACACGAGATGGAGGTAGGGGACAAAGGGACGCGTGGGCACCTGTGGGGAGTCCCCAGTGTCCCCCCAAAAGCTGGGGCAGGGTGGGTTTGGTGACTTTTTGTTCCGGGGAGCAGAGTTTGGTCCCTAATTAAAGCCAGCACCCTGGGGCCTGGCAGGGTTAAACGAGGTACCCAGCTCCAGGATTTCCTATTTCTCGAGTTCTCCCTTTGTGATCTTTGTGTTCTTTCAACACGGTCCCTTTGGTGTGGTTTCGTATTTAAGTGTTTTTAATTTGAGCGAGCTCCCTCCAGCTCATTCCTGCTCCTTGTGCAGGGCTCTGGAGAAGACCTTTTCCCTTTTATTAGAGAGGAATGTTTTTAATCACCCGCATTCTTCAACCCGCCTGAACTCTGAACCTTTCACAGCAGATCAGCATAAGATGGGAAAGGCTTTTGTAAAAGAAGATGGTTTATTGAAAAAACCCAGCCTGGATTTAACTGCTGCTCCTGCTCAGCTGTGGGCAGGCAGGGATGAAGGAAGGGAGAGACTGGGGTGAGGGCAGGGATAAACAGGGATACAGGTGGGGATAAACAGGGATACAGGTGGGGATAAACAGGGGTACAGGCAGGAATAAATAGAGATAGGTGAGGATAAACAGGGATGCAGGCAGGGATAAATAGGGATGCAGGTGGGGATAAACAGGGATGCAGGCAGGGATGCAGGCAGAGGTGCAGGCAGGGATGCACAGAACAGCAGAGCTGCAATGCCACTGCTTTGTTTGCTCCTCAATAACCTTCCTGCCCTGCTTTGTTTGCCTCTTGCTTTATTTCCCTCTTATGTAAGCCCAGCTCTGTTGACGGCTGATTTGCCTCTTTAAAAACAATCAGGAAATGCCAAAGCAAAGATTTCTGTGCTGGGTTTTTATTTTTTTTCTCTTTTCCGGGATGGCTGGCTGGGAGCAGCCTGCTGGTGTCCCGAGTGACACCAGCCCAGCACTGCCACCCCCAGCCTGGGGAACTCGCTGCCACCAAACGTCACCCTGTCCCAAAGCTCCTGGAGGTGCTGCAGGGCAGAGCGGGGCTCCCAGCCCTCCCCCCGTGTCTGTCCCACCTCGTGGCTGAGCCCGTGGCCCCTCGGCTGCGTTCCCTGCTCCGTTCCGTGCCGGCAGCCTGGAAAATGCTGGTAAGGCGTTTGTGCCGGGGCTGGAGCACAGAGCCCTCATTCATGGCCTGCTTTCCCCGGGCACTCGGGGAGACTCCGTGGCACAGCCTCCCCGTGCCATGGAGGATCCCGGGCTGCAGCTGCAGGGCCGGCCCAGGGATGGGGTGTGCCATGGGCGACTGGCACCGCAGCTCTCCCGGTCCCAAACCGGGCATGCCAGTCCCAAACTGGGCATTCCGGTCCTGAACTGGGGATCCTGATCCTGAACTGGGGATCCTGATCCTGAACTGGGGATCCCGGTCCCAAACTGGGCATCCCAGTCCCAAACTGGGCATCCTAGTCACAAACTGGGCATCCTGATCCCAAACTGGGCATCCTGATCCCAAATTGGGCATTCCGGTCCTGAACTGGGGATCCTGATCCTGAACTGGGCATCCCGGTCCCAAACTGGGGATCCCGGTTCACCCCAGCCTCTCTGGGTCACAAACTGGGGATCCTGGTCACAAACTGGGGATCCCGGTCACAAACTGGGCATCCCAGTCTCAAACTGGGCATCCTGATCCCAAACTGGGGATCCCGGTCCCAAACTGGGCATCCCAGTCCCAAACTGGGCATCCCAGTCCCAAACTGGGCATCCCGGTCCCAAACTGGGCATTCTGATCCTGAACTGGGCATCCTGGTCACAAACTGGGGATCCTAGTCACAAACTGGGGATCCCGGTCACCAACTGGGCATCCCAGTCTCAAACTGGGCATCCTGATCCCAAACTGGGCATCCTGGTCTCAAGCTGTGATCCCAGTCCCAAGCTGTGATCCCAGTCCCAGCCACGTGTCCTGTCCTCTCTGGAAATCCAGGGTGCCTTTTCTCACCCCAGCCTCTCTGAAACCCTCTCAGACATCCCCAGCTGGGATGGGCAGAGCCGGGGCCGTGGCAGGAGCGGGGTCCATGCAGCCTCTTCTTGCCTGGCTCCAGAGCCTCTTGGCTCTGGGGATGCTCCACAGCTTTTTCCTGGCTCCAGGCGAGTGCTGAGGAGTTGTTTTGTTTTTCTGGCTGCTGCCCGGCCTCCCTCTCCCCCAGCAGCCCCCGTCCCTCCCTGCTCCGCTTCCGCCGCCTCGCCGTTTGTTTTTACAGGGACTGAAACAAATGATGCAGAGAGAGATTCCCAGAGCTTCCCCCTCCTGGGGGTGGCTGGAGCAGCCCCTCCTTCACCTGGGGTGCCCCAAGCCCTTCCCACCCCTTTCTGCACCCTCCAAATCCCATCCCACCCCTTTTTTTCCCCCCAATCCCTTCCTATCCCATTTCCCCCCCCAATCCCTTCCCACCCCATTTTCCCCCCCAATCCCTTCCCATCCTGTTTTTCTTGGGAAGGGGCCCTGCTGAGCCTCCCTGGGCAGCTCAGACCAAACCTCGGAGCTTCCCGTGGGCATTTTTAGGGAGCAGAGGAGGGCTGGCACAGCTCCTTGGGTGCCATCAGCTGTGCCTGGCTGGGCTGCTCCTTCCCCCTCGTCCCCATTGGAGTGATGGTCCCAAACATGGCCCCCAGCTCCTGCCCCTCGTGTGGTGACATTTGGCCACAGGGGACACGGGGTCAGCGGTGTCACGGGACGGGATTTGGTGCCAGAAGTGCCCGGTGCCCATCCCGAGCTGTGCCAGTCACAGCCTGTCCTTGTCCCGCTGCCAGCTGCCCGTGCCAGCCCTGCTCCCGTGTCCCTCGTGGGGACAGGAGGGACAGGAGGTCGGGACCCTCGTGTGGTGACATTTGGCCACAGGGGACACGGGGTCAGCGGTGTCACGGGGCGGGATTTGGTGCCAGAAGTGCCCGGTGCCCATCCCGAGCTGTGCCAGTCACAGCCTGTCCTTGTCCCGCTGCCAGCTGCCCGTGCCAGCCCTGCTCCCGTGTCCCTCGTGGGGACAGGACAGGAGGTGACAGGCAAGAGGGGACACTTTCGGGGTGTAATGGGCAGTTTCAGGTGTGTAACTGGAGCTATTTTAGGGGTGTAACTGGCACTGTTTTGGGGTGTAACTGGCACTGTTTTGGGTGTGTAACAGACGATTTCAGGTGTGTAACTGGCACTGTTTTGGGGGTGTAACTGGCACTGTTTTGGGTGTGTAACAGACAGTTTCAGGTGTGTAACTGGCACTGTTTTGGGGGTGTAACTGGCAGCGTTTGGGGTGTGTAACAGACAATTTCAGGCGTGTAACTGGCACTGTGTTGCTGTCCCCACCGGGCACGTTTTGCTTTCACCCCTCAGGGAGGTTGTGCAGGGGACATCTCCACTCCAGACCCTTCTCCAGCACGATGCCAGGCCCGCAGCACCCTGCAGCCTCTCCAGAGCAGTGGCATTTCCAGGAATCTCCTTCCTCGGTGGCAGGGTTGTACCAGCCCCTTTGGCAGCCCCGGCACTCAGCCGTGTCCCTTTGTGTCCCCACAGCTGCCGTGACCCCCTGCACCTCCCCGCGGGTGCCCCAGGCCGTCCCCATGGACCTGCGGATCGGGCAGCGCGTGGTCAAGCCCCAGGACACGGCGCTGCTGGCCCTGAAGCAGCAGCAGCTGCAGCACCAGCTCTTCCTGGCCAGCCTGCACCAGCAGCAAGTGGAGCAGCTCGCCCACCAGCACGTCAGGGTAGGGGACAGGGCAGGGAGGGCCCACACCCCGCTCTTGGCAGGGTTTGGGGCAGGACTGGGCACTTTGGAGGGTGAATTTTGCCCCCCAGAGCTAGAATCAGGGCTGGCTTTGAGTTCCCCTCTCTGGGCAGGGATTCAGGGGAAAAGGCTGGAAATCCCAACGCCAAAATAACATTCCCAGGTGAATTCCTGCTTTTCCCTGAGCTGGAACATCTGGAGGGGTTTCCAGCCAGCCCAGGGAGCTCTGTGATGCAAGGGGAGGCAGGTGGAGGGGTTGTGTCTCAATTCCAGCCCAAATTCCAGGGCTGGAGCCTCCAGCAGTGCTGCAGGAATCCCTGCGAGCCGGGGCTGCCCCTGCCCCTCGGGGCTGGCTCCTCCAGTCCCGGGGATGGCTCCTCCGGGAGGCTTCAGAGGGAGGCAGGTGGGAGGACATGTCCAGGGAGCTGTGACAGTGTCCAGGGAGCTGTGACAGTGTCCAGGGAGGTGTGACCATGCCCAGGGAGTCCTGACCATTCCCAAGGAGTTGTCACCATGCCCAGGGAGCTGTGATTGTGCCCAGGGAGGTGTGACAGTGTCCAGAGAGTTGTCACCATGTCCAGAGAGTTGTGACCATGCCCAGGGAGTTGTGACCATTCCCAGAGAGTTGTGACCATGCCCAGGGAGCTGTGACCATGTCCAGAGAGTTGTCACCATGTCCAGAGAGTTGTCACCATTCCCAGGGAGTTGTCACCATGCCCAGGGAGTTGTCACCATGTCCAGGGAGCTGTGACCACATCCAGGGAGCTGTGACCATCTTCAGGCACCGAGGTCCCCCTGCCTGTCCCAGGGCTGCTCCGGGCTCAGGGCAGGAGTCATTTCCATGGATCAGCTGGGATTTCCCTCCTATCACAGATTTTTTTTTCCCTTTTGTGCTCAACAAAGATTTTCATTTTTTGCCGCGTTGCAACACGGCAGACGTGTCCAAACACCCTGGGAGGAGGCAGTGAGTGGGAACAGACAGGTTTTGACTTTTACGATGTCCCCGGGGAGAGCAGAGCGTCCCTGGAGACCAAAACGTGTCGGGTTTGCTGTGATGGAACAACTTGACACGTTCCCATCAGCCCGAGTGACACCAGGGACTGTCCCAGCGTGCTCTGTCCCCCTGCCTGGGGCTGGGGAGGGGTCGGGCGGGCTCAGGGGGGGTTATGGGGTCCTGTGCCCATGTCCCTGTCCCACAGGTGGCCATGGAGTCCCCACACCGCGAGGCTGAGCCGGGCCAGCAGGAGCAGGAGCTGCGGCAGATCCTCAACAAGGACAAGAGCAAGCGCAGTAAGGGCTGCCCGTGCCCGGGGCACGCTGGGGAGGGGGCTCGGGGGGTTCTGCCCTCAGCCAGAGCAGGCTCTGCCTTCCCCTGGGGGAAAGGGGTGGGAGAGCATCCTCAGAGAGGGGCTGCGACCCCTCTGGGACCCCCGGGTGGGTTACAGACCTCATGCAGGTGACAGACCCCAGTGGGACCCTGGGCTGGGTTTGCAGCACCCAAACTGGGTTTGCAGACCCCAAACTGGGTTTGCAGCACCCAAACTGGGTTTGCAGACCCCAAACTGGGTTTGCAGCACCCAAACTGGGTTTGCAGACCCCAAACTGGGTTTGCAGCACCCAAACTGGGTTTGCAGACCCCAAACTGGGTTTGCAGACCCCTGACTGGGGTCTCAGCCCCCAGACTGGGTTCTCAGCCCCCAGACTGGGTTCTCAGCCCCCAGACTGGGTTCTCAGCCCCCAAACTGGGTTCTCAGCCCCCTCCCAGCCGCAGTCTCCCGGCGCCCTCTGGTGCTGGCGCTGGAGGAGCCGCCGGGGGCTCGCTCCCAATTTTGGGACCCGCGGGGCTCCACATCGCGCCTAATTAATTCCTAATTAATTAATTAACTCCCGCTCGGAGGTGCCAAACGCCGTGAGCACAGAGCATTCCTGTGGGACAGAGGGACGGGGAGCGGGAGGGGAGCAGAGCCAGCCGTGCCCCTCAGGAGTCCCCAGCCGTGCCCTCGGGGGTCCCAGCCGTGCCCCTCAGGAGTCCCCAGCCGTGCCCTCGGGGGTCCCCAGCCATCCCGGAGCCCTGGGGTCGGGGTCCTGCCCGCAGAGACCCTTGGGAGCGGCTCTGAGCCCCGTGGGGTGACCGTGGTGACCGTGGTGACCGTGCAGGTGTCGGGGGTCCCAGCCATGCCCTCGGGGGTCCCAGCCGTGCCCTCGGGGGTCCCAGCCATGCCCCTCAGGAGTTCCCAGCTGTGCCCTCGGGGGTCCCAGCCGTGCCCTCGGGGGTCCCAGCCGTGCCCCTCGGGGGTCCCCAGCCATACCGGAGCCCTGGGGTCGGGGTCCTGCCTGCAGAGACCCTTGGGAGCGGCTCTGAGCCCCGTGGGGTGACCGTGGTGACCGTGGTGACCGTGGTGACCCGCAGCCCGCCGTGGCCAGCACGGTGGTGAAGCAGAAGCTGGCCGAGGTCATCCTGAAGAAGCAGCAGGCGGCTCTGGAGAGGACCAGCAACCCCCCCGCCGCAGCCCTGCCCTACAGGTAACGATCTGCCCCCAAAAGGACCTGTCCCTGCCCCAGACCTGCTCAGGGGCAGCTGGGAAGGGGCTCTGGTTCTCCCCGCAGGTCTCTGGAGCCCCTGGAGCCCGAGGGTCCCTCCCCTGCCATGCTGAGCACGTTCCTGTCCCCCGTGGCCAGCGCTGCCCTCGACACCCCCGAGCATTTTCCACTGCGGAAAACAGGTATGGCCTCGGGAATGTCCCCGTGTCCCCAGAGACCTTGGGAATGTCCCTGTGTCCCTCAAGGCCTCGGGAATGTCCCCGTGTCCCCAGAGACCTTGGGAATGGCCCTGTGTCCCTCAAAGCCTCAACCCCATATCCCTCAAGGTCTTGGGAGTGTCCCTGTGTCCTCAAAGCCTCAGGGATGTCCCCGTGTCCCTCAAGGCCTTGGGAATATCCCTGCGTCCCTCAAGGTCTCGGGAGTGTCCCTGTGTCCCCGTGTCCCTCAAAGCCTCAGGGATGTCCCCGTGTCCCTCAAGGCCTCGGGAATGTCCCCATGTCCCTCAAAGCCTCAGGGATGTCCCCGTGTCCCCGGCTGGAGCTGGCCCTGGCCCCACAGAGCCCGCCCAGCCGGGGCCAGGACTGACCCCTGTCCCCGCAGCGTCCGAGCCCAACCTGAAGGTTCGGTGCAAGCCCAGGAAGTGCCTGGACCGGCGCAAGAACCCCCTGACCCGCAAGGAGAGCGCCCCCCCCTCGCTGAAGAGGCGCCCGCCCGACGCCATCGGTGAGGCCTGGGCCGGGCCTGGGGACACCCTGGGGCAGCTGCAGGTCCCGTGTCACCCCTGCCGGGGACAGTGACACCGGGTTTGGTGTGTCCCCTGGGTTTGGTGTGTCCTCCCCAGGGGCTGGGACAGCTCCAGGTCCCGTGTCACCCCTGCCTGGGGACAGTGACACCGGGTTTGGTGTGTCCCCTGCGTTTGGTGTGTCCTCCCCAGGGGCCAGGAGGTTTTGGTGTGGGACGAGAGGTGCTGGTGTGGGACTGGGGATTCAGGAGGTTTTGGTGTGGGATGGGAGGTGCTGGTGTGGGACTGGGGATCGGGAGGTTTTGGTGTGGGACTGGGGATCCAGAGGTTTTGGTGTGGGACTGGGGATCCAGAGGTTTTGGTGTGGGACTGGGGATTCAGGAGGTTTTGGTGTGGGACTGGAGATCCAGAGGTTTTGGTGAGGGACGGGAGGTGCTGGAGCAGCTGCTCCTGCTGCTCTTGGGGCCCAGGCTGGTCCTGCAGGGCTGGAAGTGCCCCAGTTCTGGCGTGGAGCGTTCCCACCACGGAGCGCTGCCTTCCCAGGGGCTTCAGCCCCAGAAGGGTGGCGGGCAGAGGCTGGAGGGGCTGGGGGGCAGAGGCTGGAGGGGCTGGGGGGGCTGTGCCCTCACCCCGTGTCCCTGCCCCCCCAGACTCGTCCCCCAGCAGCAGCAGCACCCCCGTGTCGGGCTGCAGCTCTCCCAACGACAGCCTGCCCGCCGAGCACGCCGCGCTGCCCGCCGCCCCGGGCGTGCCCCACGAGGTGAGCCCCGCTGCCTTTGGGGACCCGCTGTCCCCTCCGGCCTCAGGGGGAGCCCACGACCCCAGCCCTGAACCCCCTGCCCGGAGCTGCCTCTCCCTGCATGCTGGGGTGCCCTGGGGTGCCCTGGGATTCTCTGGGATGCTCTGGGATTCCTTGGGATGATCTGGGATGCCCTGGGATGCCCTGAGATGTCCTGGGATGCCCTGAGATGTCCTGGGATGCTCTGAGATGTCCTGGAATGCCCTGGAATGCTCTGAGATGCCCTGGGATTCCCTGGAATGCCTGAGATGCCCAGGGATGCCCTGGGAATTCCCTGCCCAGGGATGCCCTGGGATGCTTTGGAGTGCCCAGTCCTGGAATTCCCTGCTCCGGGATGCCCTGGGATGCCCTGCCCTGGGATGCCCTGGGATGCCCAGGGATGCCCAGGGATGCCCTGGGATGCCCTGGCATTCTCTGGGATGCCCAGAGATGCCCTGGAATGCCCTGGGATGCCCTGGGCTGCCCTGGAATTCTCTGCTCTGGGATGCTCTCCCCAGCCCAGCACTCCTCCCCCACCCAGCCTCCTTCAGGGTGCATTTCCCCTCTGCCGGCGCTGCCCCATGGGTGTCCCCAGGGTGTCCCTGTGGGTGTCCCCGTGGGTGTCCCTGTGCCCCCGTGGGTGTCCCCGTGCCCGGTGCCCGGCTCTGGGCAGGGCTCTGACGGCTGCTGTGGTGGGTGTCCCCGTGGGTGTCCCCGTGGCTGTCCCTGTGCCCCCGTGGGTGTCCCCGTGCCCGGTGCCCGGCTCTGGGCAGGGCTCTGACGGCTGCCGTGTGCCGCAGGCGCCGCTGGCGCAGCGGCTGCTGCTGCAGGAGAGCTCCCTGGCGCAGTTTGCCCTGCAGAGCGCGGCCTCCCTGCCGGCCATCACCCTGGGGCTGCCGGCCACCACCGGCGCCAGGGTAGGTGCCCGGGCTGGGCCCCAGCCTGGGGCTTCCCTTGGGGTCTGGGGCTCCTGGTGCTGCCCTCGGGCACGGTGGGGACAGTCTTGTGCCCTCCCGCTGCCGTGTCCCTGTGACTGTCCCTGACCCATCCCTGTCCCTGACCCATCCCTGTCCCTGTCCCCATCCCTGTCCCTGTCCCGATTCCTGTCCCTGACCCCGTCCCTGTGCTGTGTCCCTGTGACTGTCCTTGATCCATCCCTGTCCCTGACCCGTCCCTGTCCCTGTGCTGTGTCCCTGTGACTGTCCCTGTCCCCGACCCCATCCCTGACCCATCCCTGTCCGTGCCCCCATCCCTGACCCTTTCCCTGTGCCTGTCCCATTCCTATCCTCGTCCCTGTCCCACCCCGTCCCTGTCCCATTCCTGTCCCTGTCCCATCCCTGCCCTGTCCCACCCCTATCCCTGTCCCATGCCTGCGCCACCCCTGTCCTGTTCCTATCCCTGTCCCTGTCCCATCCCTGTGTCTGTCCCATCCCTGTCCTATCCCTGTCCCTGTCCCATCCCTGTCCTATCCCTGCCCTGTCCCATCCCCATCCCCGTCCCATCCCTGTCCCTGTCCCATCCTTGTCCCTGTCCCCATCCCATCCCATCCCATCCCATCCCATCCCATCCGATCCCATCCCATCCCATTATCCCATTATCCCATCCCACCCTGTCCCTGTCCCACCTGTCCCTGTCCGTGTCCCCAGGCCGATGCCGAGCGCCGGGCGCTGCCCGGGCTGCCTCACCGGGTGCCGGTGCTCAACGGGCCGGTGCTGCCGGGCACGCACGCGCCCGTCTTCATCCCGGCCAGCCTGGAGCAGCACGAGCCCGGCAGCCCCCTGTCCCCGAGGCTGCAGCCCGTCATCATCCTCGAGCCCTCGGTCACCCACACGCCGCTGGTGGCAGGTGAGTGTCCGCCTGGGGACAGGGACAGCGACAGCGACAGCGACAGCGACAGCGACAGCGACAGTGACAGTGACAGTGGAAGTGACAGTGACAGTGAGAGTGGAAGTGGCAGTGACAGTGGCAGTGGATGGGGCAGTGGCAGTGGCAGTGACAGTGATAGTGACAGTGAAAGTGACAGTGCAAGTGGCAGTGGCAGTGGCAGTGGCAGTGATAGTGACACCAAAAGTGACAGTGCAAGTGACAGTGACAGTGCAAGTGACAGTGGCAGTGGCAGTGGCAGTGGATGGGGCAGTGGCAGTGGCAGTGACAGTGATAGTGACAGTGAAAGTGACAGTGCAAGTGGCAGTGGCAGTGGCAGTGGCAGTGATAGTGACACCAAAAGTGACAGTGCAAGTGACAGTGACAGTGCAAGTGACAGTGACAGTGGCAGTGGCAGTGACACCAAAAGTGACAGTGACAGTGCAAGTGGCAGTGACAGTGGCAGTGACAATGACAGTGACAGTGACAGCCAGGCTGTCACTGTGGGAGTGAAGCACATTGGGAGTTCCCTTTCCTCCATGGTGGAAAAAGCTCTTTTTTATTCACATAACTCAGTTTTTATACAGTTTTACAGACCTCATTGGGACTCCAGTTGGTCAGTAGCTCCTTGCCAATTAGTTCCTGGTTAATTAAAGTTGTTAGGCTGCAGGGGTTGGTCACCCCAACCCTCGCTGTGTACGTGCAGGGAAGGTTGTTTGGGAGAGATCATTTTCGTTTTTCTAATGAACAGTGCAGAGTGAAGTGCAGCAGTGCAGTTTGTATCTCAGGTTATCCAGGTGCCAGTTGTTGGTGACCCGGGAATAGATTGGCTTGTCGCTGGTGCCCGCGGAGCGGCTGGCACTGCCCGGGCAGCACCGGCCGCTGGGCAGGACGCGCTCGGAGCCGCTGCCGCCCAGCCCCAGCGCCGCGCGGCAGCACCTGCTCTTCCAGCAGCACCACGCGCACGTCCTGGAGCGGCTGGCGCAGCACACGCACCTGGGCAAGGTGGGACTGGCAGTGGGGGGATTATTGGTGTGGTTTTTGTCTAAGGGTAAATGCTGATCGAGTCGGTGAAGGAGGGCAAGGAGAAGGGCTGGCTTCTGCCTTAAAACTCCTGCTTTGGTTTGTATATGTAGTACGTTATCTATTATCTAGAATATTTAATCGATATAATACATTATTAGCTATTATCTATAATATAAAATCTATAATATATCATATGTCTTTATCTTATATTATATATTATATATTATATATTATATATTATATATTATATATTATATATTATACATTATATATTATATATTATATATATTATATAATGTATATCTATACATAATATAACATATTATATATTATATAATGCATAATATATATCATAAATAATATTACAATATATATTATATAGAACATAAAATGTGAAAAGTCTTTTTTGTAACTGAAAAAATGTATATATCATATATCATATATTGTATATTATATATAATGTATTATGTATTATGTATTATATATTACATCTTTTATATATTATATATTATATATAATGTATATATTATATATAATATATCATATATTGTATATTATATATTGTATGTTATATGTTATGCAGTATATGTGGCATATTATATATTACATAGTGTATATAATATATACGACATATTATATGTTTTATATTATATATTATATAATATATAGTACATGTTTTATATATTATATGTTATATATTATATACTCTATATTATATAGTATGTATATTATATATTATATATTATATATTACATATAGTATATTCCCTATCATATACTATGTACCACATATTACATGCAATATAGAATATATTACATATAATATAAAATTTTAATATATTATTAATAGATAATATAGCTTTCTTTTAAAACTTTTTAGTTTCATTTTTCTCTCAACAACATCTGTCTTATTCTATAACATTTCCAAGTCAGTATTTTTTATCTCCTTGCATACAAATATATTTTAAAAATATTTATATATACACACATACATATATATATATACATACACACATACATATACACACAAATATAAGTTTATATACAAATATATGCTATGCGAGCCTTTTGCTAGACGCGAAGAATTTTCCAGAAATGCGTTTTTCACGCTGCTGCTCGCTGTCCCCAGCGCATGGCCAAGCCCAGCGAGAAGCCCCGGCTGCGGCAGATCCCGTCCTCGGAGGACATGGAGGCCGAGGGGACCCTCCCGGAGGCCGCGGCCGAGGGGGGGGACCCCGGCCGGGCGCGGGTGGAGCCCCCCCGGCCCGGCAGCAGCGGCAAGGAGCCCGAGAGGACGCAGAAGATGGGGCAGCCCCAGGAGGAGCTGGTCCTGCAGCAGGTACGGGGGGCACGGGCAGGGCTGGGCACCGGCAGGGTGGGCACGGGCAGGGTGGGCACGGGCTGTGCCTGCCGGGTGCCCGGGGCAGCTCACAGGGACAGGGGCAGAGCTGCGGCCACCGCTGCTGTCACACAGCCGGGTATTGTCCCCGAATTGCCGGGTTTTGTCCAAATTGTCCGGTTTTGCCCCCGAATTGCCGGGTTTTGCCCCCGAATTGCCGGGTTTTGTCCCCAGATTGCTGGAACTTTGTGCTCCTTGTCCTGCTTGTCCCGTCCGAATTGCCGGGCTTTGTCCCCAAGTTGTCAGGCCTTTCCCCAAATTGCCGGGCTTCGTCCCCGAATTGTCGGGCTTTGTCCCCGAATTGCCGGGTTTTGTCCCCAGATTGCTGGAACTTTGTGCTCAAGTTTCTGGGCATCGTCACCAAATTGCCGGGCTTTGTCCCCGAATTGCCAGACCTTTCCCCACATTGTCAGGCTTTGTCCCCGAATTGCCGGTCTTTGTCCCCAAATTGCTGGGCTTTGTCCCGAAACTGTCGGGCTTTTCCCCAGATTGTCGGGCTTTTCCTCAAATTGTCGTGTTTTTCCCCCAATTGTCGGGTTTTTCCCAAATTGCCGGCTCTGTCCCATCGCTGTTGTCACTACGGGGCTGAGCCGGCAGGGAGCAGCAGATGCTGGCACAGTCCTGTCCTGTCCTGCTTGTCCTGTCCCATCCTGTTCTGTCCCATCTTGTCCTGCCTATCCTGTCCTGTCCTGCCTTGTCCTGCTTGTTGTGTCCCGTCCAGTCCTGTCCTGTCCCCTCCTGTCCTGTCCTGCCTGTCCTGTCCTGCTTGTCCTGCTTGTCCTGTCCTGTCCTGTCCTGCCTGTCCTCTCCTGCCTGTCCCATCCTGTCCCCTGCTGTCCTGCCTGTCCTGCTTGTCCTGCTTGTCCCGTCCTGTCCTGTCCTGCCTGTCCTGCCTTGTCCCCCCCTCCTGTCCTGCCTGTCCTGCTTGTCCTGCTTGTCCCGTCCTGCCTGCCTTGTCCCCTCCTGTCCCCTCCTGTCCTGTCCCCTCCTGTCCTGCCTGTCCTGCTTGTCCTGCTTGTCCCGTCCTGTCCTGTCCTGCCTGTCCTGCCTCATCCCCTCCTGTCCCCTCCTGTCCCCTCCTGTCCTGTCCCCTCCTGTCCCGACTCCGAGCCCGGACCAGCCGCTGGATCCAGCCCTGGCCACACCAAGCAGGGCTGTGTCCCCTGTCCCGGCGCTGGGGAGGCTGGCCTGTCCCCTGACGGTGTCCTGTGTCCCCAGGCCTTCCTGTGGGACTCCTTCCAGCGGGTGCAGCAGCAGCTCCTCAAGCGCCAGCCCCTGGCCGACCCCCCCGTGCTCCCCCCCGGCCACCGGCCGCTGTCCAGGGCTCAGTCGTCCCCAGCCACGGCCACCGTGTCCCTCCCTGCCCAGGACACCAAGGCGCTGGCCCTGCCCGTGCAGGAGCAGCCGCCCAAGCCGCACTTCACCACAGGTATGGTCACCCTGCGGGGCTGTCACCGCTGGGCAGGGACAGGAGGGGACCTGGGGGTGTCCCGGGGCGGCTCCGCATCGCTCCGGGTCATTCCTGGACTTGGGAGCGCCAGGAGAGAGCTGGGGGGGACCTCTTTTTGTCTGGGAGGGCTGTTCCAGGTAGGGTTTGCCCACCCGGCCCCTGGCTGCATTCCTGGGGTTTGCATTCCTGAATCTCCCATGGTTTAGGGCAGAATCTCCCATGGTGCAGAATCCCCCGTGATTTGGGGTAGAATCTCCCGTGGTTTGGGGTAGAATCTCCCATGGATGGGGGGGATTTTGGTCAGTATCTGGGGTCTCAGAGGCCCTGCAGAGGAGCTGAGCGTGCGGCTCTGCCTGACAGGGCTGGTTTACGACTCGGTGATGCTGAAGCACCAGTGTTCCTGCGGGGACAACAGCAACCACCCCGAGCACGCCGGCAGGATCCAGAGCATCTGGTCCCGCCTGCAGGAGCGGGGCCTGCGCAGCCGCTGCGAGGTGAGCTGGGAGGGGCTGGGCCCGCCTCCGTCCCTGCCACTCCCATCCCATCCCTCCTGATCCCATTGGTTTGGGGCAGAATCTCCCATGGTTTGGGGGCAGAATCTCTCATGGTTTGGGGGCAGAATCTCCCAGGTTTGGGGGCAGAATCCCCCGTGATTTGGGGTAGAATCTCCCGTGGTTTGGGGTAGAATCTCCCATGGATGGGGGGGATTTTGGTCAGTATCTGGGGTCTCAGAGGCCCTGCAGAGGAGCTGAGCGTGCGGCTCTGCCTGACAGGGCTGGTTTACGACTCGGTGATGCTGAAGCACCAGTGTTCCTGCGGGGACAACAGCAACCACCCCGAGCACGCCGGCAGGATCCAGAGCATCTGGTCCCGCCTGCAGGAGCGGGGCCTGCGCAGCCGCTGCGAGGTGAGCTGGGAGGGGCTGGGCCCGCCTCCGTCCCTGCCACTCCCATCCCATCCCTCCTGATCCCACTGATCCCATTCCACCCCTCTTGATCCCATTCCACCCCTCCCAATCCCATCCCATCCCATCCCATCCCATCCCATCCCATCCCATCCCATCCCATCCCATCCCATCCCATCCCAT